TATTTTATGTGCTCTGGATGGGTTTCAACCATAACCAACATGTAGAGTTTTATAAGTGACTCTTCTTTTTTTTCAAACTTTAATAACCTTAATAAAATGGCGAGTTTATCTATTTTCGTTATAAATTCACCTATTTTATACTTATATAAAATCTTGATGGCAGAAGTGTAAAGTTAGGTAAACACTATTCTTATATTTTGTCATAGGTAGCTTGTATATTTTATTTGTTTGTCCTACATATTTAAAACTAATTTTCTTTATGTTTATTAAAATTTGTTTATTATATTTTCTTTTAATCTCTAGATTTTATTGTAGAAATATAATGTTACGTACCACTAGTCTTATTCATTAATATTTTAAATATTTTTAGAGAATGTAAAGTTACTTCTTTCTAAAACTTTTAATTTTATTGAATTTTTAACAGCAGCATTTCTTTCGAGTATTAAGTTAACTGAATAATAATTAATATTACTGAAATTCATTTCCACATTTTTTTCTATTTCCAATACACTCAAATAACCTCGTTTTTACTAAGTACTAAATATATTTAAATCATGAATCTTGTTATGTAATGTATTTTTTTTTAATTAATATTGGAATATAAAACTGACCTCACTACAAAATACTATTTTAAGTTATTTATTTTAAGTTATTTATTTTAAGTTATTTTCATAGCTTAAGTAAAAACTTGAATAATTCAATCTTACCTAACCTAACATATCAAAGTAAAGACAAACTTAACCTACGTCACAAAAAAATGACAACTATTCTATAAATTGAAAACTTAACCTGACTTATTGAAGGCATGACAGCCTTAACCTCATCTTACTAAATATTCAAATTATTATGTGAATATAAGCTAATCAATTCAAGCTTATATTTTATACACCTAACCTAATTTATCTAATTTATCATAACCTAAACTTAATTACACTAAATAATCAAATTATTGAATGAATTTAATTGGTTAGTTTTTATTTTAGAAAAAACTCAATCTCATCTAACCTAACTTAACTTAACGATAATCTAATTTCAGTAAATAATAAAACTATTCTATGAAAAAATGTATATAATTTAGAGTGCTATTATATAAAGTGTGCATATGCACTTTTCTATGTCTATAAAATAATAATTTCAAATTATCAATTCTATTCAAAATTAATTTTAAATAGAATAGTTTTTACCTAATTTTATATTTTTACTATGAAAAGAATTTAAATTAAGTGGTAAATAAAATAGTAATTCCCGAACTTTATTTTACATAGTTTACATAATTATAGTCTTAATATTTTCTACATGAAATTTTTGAAAATTTTCCATTCAAATTTGTATTTCTTTTGGTACAAAAATATTTAAACTACGGTATTTTTCGGACCAAACGATGCACCAAATTTATGGTACCAAGAATGTTTTATTAAGTATATATATATTCAAATTGTTACTTCAATTTTATTATTTGTAAAACAGCAATATTCAGTTCATCTTCACTCTCGATATCTTCTCGTTTTTGTCACCGGGTTTATGTTATACAATAATTTTGATGATGTTACAAATTTGATCACTATTCTTCCATATACAAACTCATAATGAAATTATATAAAAAAAAAATAACTTTATGATTGGGTTTTTGGGTTTAAATATGCGGATTCGACAAATTATCATTCAGTTCATCTTGACTCTCGATGTCTTCACTCATCTTGTTGATGTTACCATTCATTATTCCTTCGTCTGAACTCTTATCGTCGCTCAAAAACTGCTTATAGTTTAAAAAATTGTATTTTAATGTTACCTTTGGTCCACAATTCAAGTTTAAGTTGCTTTTTCTATGTAAAAAGATGCTTTTTATGGTCCGAAAATAGGTATATTATTGTATAACAATAATTTTGATGATGTTACAAATTCGATTACTATTGTTCCATATACAAACCCATACTGTAATTATGTTTATTTGTAGCAAAAACATAACTTTCTGATTTTGTTTTTGGCTTTGAATATGCCAGTTACGTTCATCTTCACTCTCGATGTCTTCACTCATCTTGTTAATGTTACCATTCATTTTTCCTTCGTCTGAACTTTTATTGTCACTCAAAAACTGCTTATAGTTTAAAAAATTGTATTTGAATGTTACTTTCGGTCTACAATTCAAATTTAAATTGCTTTTCCTATGTAAAAAATGGTCCTGAAAATGGATATATGTTATACAATAATTTTGATGATCTTACAAATTCGATCAATCCAGATACAAACTCATAATGTAATTATGTTCATATGTAGCAAAAAACATAACTTTCTGATTGGGTTTTTGGCTATGAATATGCGTATTCGTCAAATTTTCCTAGTTCGCTTATCATCACAAAACTCATTGTACACGTGACACCCATTAATTTTCCTCGAACACCTCTGGGGTAATGAGGGTAATCAGAAGTTGCTGCCCCAACGTCAACCCCAATTTACAGTCTGCCCCTGAAACTTATTGATCCACTTTGGCCTTTTAAGTGCATGTACATAAAAAAATATATATTGATTAAACTGGTAACGAAGTTAAATATAAGGAAATTAGTGTATGTACATAAAAAAAAATCATGCATCAATTTATGAAAAAATATCCACTAAATAATTATTTCATATATTAATAATTCTTACCTGAAGTTTTTCATCAATGCAATACAAAAATCATTTATTTTGTTTTTTGATAGTTTTCAATAAATTATATATACAAATATAATAAAATCGATTATCTGTAGTTTCTCCAAGTTAGTTTAGTTAGAAATAAAAATCAAAGCTTTTCAATGTTTCCTAAAAACTTTTAAGATTTTATGAACAAACAAGACTTAAAGTTAAATTCATCTTCATCAAATTTCATTATTTTCCTTCTCTATTTACAGAAGATACGCCAGTAACGTTTCTGTTTATTAATCTTTTCACACAATTCATAAAAAAAACTTTAAATTGTGAAATCAAAAATATGTTTTTTATAAATGATAGTAAGATTGCTGCATAATATAAATATTACCATAAACTTTAAATTAAACACTCTTTCTTTTTTAATCGTTTCTCTCGGTATTTTAGCTGCGATAAAAAGAGCTGAGTCCCCAAGGTTACGCATCTAAATTATAATTTTAATTGAAGTTGGAAAATGTTTGTCGCTGCGGAATGGAGATAATCCCAGGCGCAGTCGAAGTTTTCCACGGAAAATAGTAAACTTGGATTACATGGAAATGTATTTCGAGAAATAAACAGAAAAAAAACACATATATATATAAAAAGCAATTTCGGCTAATGCGGAACAGAAATAACGGGAGCTCCGCATTTTCGCCCTACATTTTCTCTCCCCCGTTCGTTCACTCGCATAGCGTATATGTAAAATGGACATGGAACAGTTTTAATATTTCAAAAATAATACACACATGGAAAACGATTTGAAAGAAATTGAAACTGAGGTAAATATACGCATTACAGATGCATTAGCGGGATTACAACTTTTTTCAAACAGTGCATTGAACTCAATTGTATACAGATTTGATATAATAAAGTGTGTCTGTAATGATAAATTTAATAAAAAAAAATGTATAAGTTATATCGAATATCAACATTTTGGGTTTATTTGAATTGATTTATTCATTCAAAAGTTAACACAACTTTAATATGCTAATACTCTTGACAAATTGACTTGATTTATTTTAATAAATTGAAAAAATAACTATGCAACCTCTAGAATTTGTTTGCTTTGTATGCTTTGAATATACCAGGATGTGTTGGAAAATGTATCCTTTTGAATTGTCTGCTTTTTTTTCTTATTGAACTTTTCATATAGTTCTTGCATTTACTAAATTTTAAACTATCAAAATACAAATAAAGCAAAACCTCGGATAGTCCGGATNTGATCTNNATAAATACTTTTAAACTTAAAAAAAACTTATTGACAATTGATCTGATTTATATTTTTTTCTCACTTTATTATTTTATTCCAAAGATACATGAATTGTCTGTTTTTTGTTATTTATTAAGAAATTTAAAAATACATATACAGCAAAACCTCAAATAGTCCGGATTTGATTAGCGACCTTACCCGCACTATACGAGGTATTGCAGTACTCTTGACAAATTGTTTTTTTCTTACTTTTCTTGTTTACTATTTTATGTCAAAATATACATAAAAAAATGAAATGAGATGATGATTCACTTGAAGCCACATTTTTTCAGTTGCTTTTTTTTCTCTTGCAGATTTGTAAACAGCGGCTAAAAATAACCAGAAGATATCTGAATTTATTTGTATGAAATGTCGCACTTGGAAGGTCGTAAATTATGAATATGTTTGATGCTACTAAAGAAGTATAAACATTTCATTTTTATTTGCCTTCTTAATTACACATTTTTATTGCACTTCAAAATCATCAAAAATTTAACGTGTAAATAATATATTTTTCATAATTGTTAATTAATTCGTAATTATTATGTATTTATTATATTTTTTTTCTGTCAATCAATCATTTAAGTTAACTAATAAAATTCGATTTTAAAATGATATCCAAATTAACACATTAGTAATTAAAAATCATAAAAATGAACTTCAAAATATATATTTGAATCAATTTGTAATAACTGCTATAAATTCAGCAACTGAAACATTTTTATTTTACTGCAAACATACAAATATTAATGACTATAAATTTACAAAAAGATCATCTACAACATTTTACGAAAAAATTAACAAAAACTAATATTTAATATAAAAAATTGGATGAAGTAATTGTTTTATATAATTATAAAAATATGCAGAAAAACGTTTCTTTAAGTATATTTCAATTCACATACTCATATATTTACTAAACGTAATTAATTACGAGATACATGGAATTCAATTATAAATGTATATACAAAAAAAAATGCTGGAAATTGCTGTCACTTGTGACATATATGAGGGCAAATGTCGCTCGTTTCGCGTTTATCTTTTAGTCGACGTCCGAAGTCTGAGAATAATTCATAACATTTTTTTTCAGTGAGAACTTCCAGAGTGCAATTTGGATTCAATACCACACATGGCCAGTGCGTAGCATAGTCATTCATATCCAAGGTATGTACATTCAATTAACTATTAGTAATTAATAAATTATTGTTATAAACAAAGCAGTACTAAATAAAGCGATTTCTATATGACGACTCTCATAACACGATTTCCATATAACACCTAATAATCGCGTTATATGAGGATTAATTCTGGAGTTGCGTATAACTTGAAATCAATACATTTTGTTAAATCTCATAATACAGTTTCCTATTAATCGCATTATAGGTTTATTGACTGTAGTAATTCGTATAACGCGGTAGCAATTAGTTACGTTACTCTCATAACACTGTTATATAAAACTGTACTGAGTTTGAGTTTCTTATAACACGATACGAATTAAGCGCGTTATTTAAGAATTGACTGTACTCTGAGTTTTGTATTATGTGATATCAATTCATACAACACGGTTTCCTTGTTTTCCACCTATTAATAGCGGATGTATAGAACTGTACTAAGCTTTTTTGTTTCTTATAACGCGATACAAATTTAGAGAGTTTTGTGAGCATTCTAAATTTCATTTAACGTGATATCAATTAATCGCATAACTCTCATAACACGGTTTTCATATAGCTCCTATCAATAGCGTTATATGAGGATGTATAGAATTGTAATAAGTTTAAGATTCTTGTAACGCGATATCAATTTAGCGTGTTATATGAGGATTGATATCAATTATTCGCGTAACTTTCATAACACGGTTTTCATATAGCTCCTATTAATAGCGTTATATGAGGATGTATAGAATTGTAATACGTTTAAGATTCTTGTAACGCGATACCAATTTAGCGTGTTATATGAGGATTGATATCAATTATTCGCGTAACTCTCATAACACGGTTTTCATATAGCTCCTATTAATAGCGTTATATGAGGATGTATAGAATTGTAATAAGTTTGAGATTCTTATAACGCGATACCAATTTAGCGTGTTATATGAGGATTGATATGAATTATTCGCGTAACTCTTATAACACGGTTTTCATATAACATATATTAATCGTGTTTTTGGAAGATTTGTAGTCCTGTAATAAGTCTGAGTTGTAGTAGAGTTTTTAATTGGTAATTTATAGTAATCAATAAAGAATCAAATAAAAAACGTACGTGTTCCATAAAAAAAACTGTGCTAGAAACATTTCGATAATGATGTTATGTTTACAAAGATCGATGCGCGTGGTGTGTAAATCTGAAGAGATGTTTATTTTTGGTTACGCACAAGTGTATCTAAAGAGAATGAGAGAGTGAGTGAGAGATAAGATTTATTCCGGCCGACTGGCCATCGAGGAAATTACATAATTTCGCTATGAATTTAAATTTCGACCTACTTTTTACGCGCTAAGTGATAATAAATTGATCGATATTTGGTAACCCCTGCAATTTCCATTAAAACTGCTCCACTCCGAGGCGACATTTACCAATCGGTTCATTTTACTTGCACTCTCTACAAATCAACGCGAAAATGCCTTTAATTGGTTTTGCTTTTACTTTGCCCAAGAAAAAAATTAATCAAAGTTTCATTAAAAAAAACAAAGTTAAAGAGAAGTTTGTAAATATGTTGTTAACGATGTCTTTAAACTCATCACTTTCGCCTAAAAATAGTCGTTACGCAATCCTCGGGCATTGTTCGAAAGGAAAGTCACGAGCATTCTTATGGTATCATGAAGCGTGGAGAAAGAAAAAAAAACGGTACTAACGTACTTAAAAACACTCAGAAGATAACTAAAATGTATTAAAAGAATTGCCGATTGCATAATTTGCCTTTTTCATTGCTGTTAATATATATATTAATTTGTTTCTTGTTAAAAGTTTAATTTAGATTTTCGAAACTTTTTTGCTTAATTAAAACCAATCTTTTAACACCACCACAAATTAACGAGACAAATTGATGTTTTTTTTTATTTATAGAAACTTTAGCCATTAATATAAATTAGTTATGGGTCACTCATATGTCGTTGACCTATGACCTATTGTTTGAAATGATTAATTATAACTTCTGCAAACAATACAACTTGTCTTTGGCATTCAGATACGATCGTATTTCATACAAAGGGATACGAAACAAGGGTGAATATTAAACATTTTGGAACTAATTCTAAGATTATAATAGGACGAACAATAGTGATCAATAGTAAAGTTAAATTACAAGATTCGTTTTGAATAATATTATACAATAGTAGATAATTCTATATAATTTTACAGATTTGGTTGTTTCATAGATTTATGGTAATTGCAACATTGTTATTATTCAAGTAAACTGAAGATGATATTAAGCAATAAATATTGTAAACTTTATACATATAAAAGTAATACCTGAAACGGCATGAAACAACCATATTATTAGAGAGTTTTGGTACACAACACAGCATAGTGTGGATAATCCAATATGCCGCACTCTTTGAAACCGGACTAATCGAGGACTTGAACACCACATAACAATAAACAATACAATAAGAGATTGATGTTTTGAAATTTTTAAACCGGCCTATAGTGAATACAATCTGATCGAATCCGCCCTATGCGAGGTATAGCAGTATTTCATCAAAAATTTTCATTTATTTAGAGAAAAAATCGACATACTATTTCTACTTCTAATTAAATTGATATTAATAGAAAACAAAACTAGAACATAAAAAAATTGCTAATTTGTATAAAATTCAACTTATTTTAAGAATATATACAAATGTTTGCTTTTGGATTGGATTTGTTTGGGATTAGATTATTTACAATTTTACTAGATTCATTATTTCTAACAATTTTATTGTTTGTGTATATTTGTTAGATAAGTATTTTTATTTTAGTATATTTTCTTTTACAACTGTATTACTTTTTGATAGTAATGAAATTTATTCAATATTTCATGTAAAAATTGCATCTAAATTCTGTTGTAGACGTATTTTTGTTGAAACAAAATCTGGTATGAAAATTTTGACGATTTCAGTATTTTATTTTAATAACTTTTAAGTTTCAAAATAATTTTAGTGGTAACATGAAATATACAACCATAATATTGGAGAAAATCTCTACTTGCTACAGTTATTCCTGATTCAATTCCATATCAATTTCAGTGGAAATTCAATATTTGCAATATGATTTTGATAGTTGATGGATTTCTATCTTGGGGAAAATATAAATATTTCCGAAATACTGAATTTACGTGACGCGTGGTATATAGATTTTCGGCCATTTAAGAAATTGCCTGGTGGAACCAAAGAATCGATATTGTGTATCACCGCTGTGGGTGTCGAGCATCTCTATAGTATCCTACTAGTATGTGAATGCCGTAAAGTTGGGTAATCGATCGGAAAGCGTTGCAGCAGCTATCGTACAATGCCCTTTCGACTCAGCCATATGCACACACATACATACTTTTTGGCAGCCGGACTTTCCACCTCTGTTCGTGCTTCTGTGACATTGGCGCAGACAGAAATAAACTCACCAACAGTGAGCGAATGCAGGCAATCCGGCATTCGGTGAAAACCTGGATGAACATGCCCGGTCGGCCATCGTTCCACCTTATTTCCTAATTTTAATTAAATAGAAAGTTTTGCATTTTTTGTTGTTGTGTGTATGTAAGTATATGTGTGTATGTGAGACTCGAAAGTGTATGCTATAGCACATGGAGATCGGAAAGTCTTCAACCCAGTTATCCAATTACTTTGTTGCGAGCACGTAGCGAAATCCCAAATTAGACTTACTCATTAACTTCAATTTAGAAAAAAGAAATGGAGTACATCATTTTTTATGCAGCTCGGACATCTCTATGAATACTTCATTAAAAATATAAGCAAACTGGATACTTTTCTAGAGGAATTTCATTATTTTTACTTTTGGCGTCCAACGTGGGGCACTTAAAGTTTAGTCTTATACCGAGCGAATCTATACGTTTTTCTTATTGAAGATAATTTAAACAAATTCCACTAGATATTTGTTATTTCATACATTTGGACGCTTATAATTTACATTTTATGTTTAACTGTCTATTAAATATCAAATTATATAAACAAAACCGCGCGTTTTCATACTCACTTTTTACTCTTTATATATTTAAACAGATAACGAAATCCAATTACTTTATAATCAATGTCATTTTTACACAAAATTTACTATGGCATAAAAAAATATAAAAATTCCGTATTGTTATTCTGATAGAGTAAGAAATTATAGTAATTATGGTATGTTTCCTCTATCGTGAAAGTATTTTAAAGCTAGTCATCAAATAATTTGAACAGTTTCCTTCATTTTGATATTTTATTTAAAATTCTCCATTTTCAGAAAAATCATAAGAAATGAGGAAAATCTTTGTCATCTTTTGACACTTAAATATACGACTTACAACAATCGAATTTTTAAATAATTTAAACAAATTCCACTAGTTATATACAAGTTCAATTTGTTATTTTCTACATTTACATGCTTATCATTACATGCATGCTTAAAATTTGATGTTTAACTTCCAGTTAAAATAAACAAAACCTTGCATTTTTTTCAAACTCATTACTAGCTACTGTTTACTTTTTATAGATTTAAACAGATAATTAAATCCAATTTTATAATTAACGTCTTTTTTACATAAACTTTACATCCTCGTAACAAACAAATATAAAAATTACGTTCAAAGTTCGTTATCCTCGTAGAGAAATGAATTAAACTAATTATGTAATGTTTCCTCTAGCGTGAGAAGATAAAAGCTACAATAAAAATAATTTATACAAAGTGTTTTTCGAGATTCTCTATATTCAAATAAATGATAAGAAATTTGTCATCTTGATAAAGTTAAAACTTAAATTATGGAATGTTTCCTGCATACACCAAAATTCTCCTGTCTATTTTTTGTTGTAAGCATTTTGTTAATACTTGGATAAAAGTTGACTACGTAACAATTTAGTTTCCTGCTACAATTATTGACATTATAGTAAAAAAATATAAGTTTATATTGATGCAAAAGTGATAGAAAATTATATTATAAAACAATACCTCGTACAGTTCGACTTCGCTATAGTACGGTTTGA